CTCCTCCTATCTATATAAACTACACCATAACGTAACACTCTAACTCGAGTGGCTCTTGGGATATGTACACGTTTAAGCTCACTCGAAAAAATCCACATATTTTAGAATTTGCTTATACTGAACAGACTGTGCTAAAATTGCTTGTTATACAGAATACTCTAACTACAAAAGGAACGGGTCAAAGTTTAAAAAAGACGAATTTTAAAAAATATGTATATAAAAAAATAATAAAATTCTAATATTCTTCAAAGAATTATTACCAAGTTAATCTTGGAGACGATTTTCAGAGTATTTTTCTCAAAATATCAATAATTAATGATTCTATTTCAATAAATACGAAGGGTTTTGAAAAGCCAGACAAAGATACTGATTGAAAAAATTAACCAAGACATTCGGTAATAAATCCTCTCATGATTTGATGGATCTGCCCATTTAAACAAGGCCATGTTTTGGGAGTGCTTGGTGAGTATACAACGCCGTGTCAAATGTAACTTTTACTGTAATAAACATAATCTACAAGGGTCCATTTAAGAGAATTCTTAATGCGAAACTCCATTGGCGAAATAACAATCAGAATCAAAATTAGGTTTGTGGGGGGCATTTAGCTTTTCAGCGAATCACGAAATTACCTCTTTGAAGATTCCTAATCGAGGTTATCCAACGTATGATTCAATAGCGTCGATACAATGGAACTCAGAATGTAGGAATATTGATGACCCAAGAGAGACGTAAGGAATGTATTTGGAAACATTTTTCAGTCTGGAATCACTGAAGACTTTAGTTTCTTTTGTTACTTGTTACTTTGGTCAAGTTTTTAACACCCTTTCTATAAGAATACTTTCTTTCGAAATTTATTGAAATGCTCTTTCATCTGCAATTTTCTTTCAGTATTTCCTCCTCTTTTTCTTTTATCTACGATTTCCTTATTTCAATATACAATGGTCTGCTTCGAACATAAAAGCCCCCCCCCTACAACTATAATGGTAATATTTATTATCAAAGTACCGGTGTTAGCATGGGTAATCCACTCGGACCATGCTTCTCTAACTACTATATGTCTCACGTCGAAAACAAAAAAGGTACTAAAGCTAAAATATATGTCCGCTATGTAGATGTTTTTTTTTTAAAGTTTACTTTCCCACACGAAGTTACTAAAGAAAACTTCCATTCATAAAATTTCTGGTAGAATCTATTAATAAGATATTTACTAATTCGTTATATAAAAAAACTCAAAGTAGAAACTCTTGCTAGTTTAATTTACTAGTGAATATCCACTAAAATAAATTTAAAAAAATAGGCGTTATGAAAAATTTCCTCCAGGAAGTGCATGAGAACCCCTCCTCCCGTCCGATATTCTTTAAAGACCACATCAATATGAAACATACGCTAATTAATAACGGTTTTCCGAACTACCTCATAGATCACAAATTCGAATATTTTTCTTAAGTTAGCAACAGAAAACTGAACATACAGAGAAAAACAACAAAAATTACTATAACAATGAAATATACGTTAATTATAAGCAGGATGAATTCTTTCGTGGAAACATTATAATGACATACGCAGACATAGTTGATCGGAAAAAGAAAATTAAATTACCTATTATAAAAAAAGATCTAAATTAGAGAGGACCAATATTATTTATGAATTTACATGTGCCTTAGGAACTGTGTTTCAGATCAAACCAAATTCATGGATAATTATATTGAACATGCCGCTAAATGCCTCAAAAAGACCCACGTTACATCTTTCTGATCATAGCTTAACTCGGATCCATTCAAGCACACACGGATGCCTACTAAACACCGTTCTCAAATACGACTATTGCTTCCTCATCCACATGTAAAAAATGGTTAAAACTAATGGAAGCTTTAATAACAAAACCAAGACTTAATAAAATCGACAATGAACACGGCCACTACGTGGTGACTGTTTGGAAAAAAACACTAAAAAAAATGTTTTTGGGAAAAAAAACACACTAACAATCACTATAGATATACATAGTGAGAAAAATAAAAAAACTAAAAAATGTCCTGGATGATGGCTAATAGAATAGCCGAAAGCGCCCGGATACATAGAACATTTGGACAGTTTTTACGCAGTTTATTTCCATTTTATTATATTATTATTTATAGGACTATTTCTACGATAGTAAGAGAAAAAGAGAAAGATACACATATTTATCGAAACTTTGAAGGCAAAACCTCAGCTTCGTTGTTTGACTTTGTAAAACCGTACGTCATCATAAAAAATATATGGAATCTCAAAAGAAGCAAAAACATATCCACATTAATCGAAGCTGATAAAAAAGAGCGAACAGTTACAAAACAGCTTCTGAATTTTGCCAACATTACTAAGACGAAAATCTGGCAATGTATTTGTTTAGAGATCGAGAGCTATGGTTGAATTAATGAAAGGAAATAATGTCAAAATGCAGGTACATACGTAAAGATCTTTTACCCAATTAAGAGCCAAGATAACGGTGAAATATCCCTACATAACCATAAGGGTGTATGTAGTTTAGTAGGATATGTACCTTGGTGGTAGTATGTAGTGAAATCAACAGTTCAAACATTGGTTGCAACGTGCGGGATTCGAAAAATAATAATGTTATCTTATTAATGAGCCTAAAAGAGAAAGTGAAACCGTTAGTAAATTCATAACATTTATATTTTAATACGATGTTATACCGGATGTAAAATGTAGTGTATATCTATATAGTGAATGATTGATTAATCTGTTTTTTACAGCCTAGAAGCTTTTGCAAGTTATGTAAAGCCTTGAAATATAATATATATATATATATATATATATTGAAAGATTTTGGGGAGAGATAATTATAATTTACTGAAACAAGTCCTACTAATTAACTCCTAGCTGGGGACAGAAAAGATGTATTCATACCATTCCCAAGTTTAGTTGCGCGTAAGTTAATATATTCCAAACCGACTAGAATTTTATATTGAGATCCATTATACTTTAAAACATCTGCACATTCAAGCTTATATATTATGCCTTTAAATTCCTTGGGGAAAATAGGACCGCAAGATATCTTTGCCGTTTCTATAACAAGCCATGATTTAAGTCAGTAGGTTGTTAGCCTACTGCACAATTCCCAAACAGGAGGATTAGGTTTTGAATTAAGAATTGTCCTTTTAGACCAGTTGCCAAGGCTATAGAATCCAGTCTGTCTTGCTATTTAGCCATAGCTGGGGGGTGAAGAGAAGAAAAGGATTCATATCTTTCCCAAGTGTATTAGCACGTAAGTGAATGTAATGGATTCGACTTGAATTCGAACTCGGCTCTCAGATTCCTCAATCTTTTCCTTGCAGTAGGTTACCATTTATTTCTGCGGTAGACCAGTTGCCATCCAAGTTTATAGAACCTTGTCTGTCCTGCTATTTACCCATAGCTGGGGGGGAAGGGAGAAGAAGAGGATTCAAGGGTATTAGCACGTAAGTGAATGTAATGGATTCGACTGGAATTCGAACTCGGCTCTCAGATTTCTCAATTCGAATCGCTATCCATTAATTCTTCGTGCCTCATTTTACTATATAAATATATTATATATATTAAATCCAAGCTAACATCCAAGATTACAAACCCTATTGTTCCCAAGTGGCCATTCATTTAGGTACTAACCAAACGCGATGTTGCTTAACCGGACAGAACGGGACGATAACGGTTAACCCTAGGCTTGAAGACTTGGTCGAGGAGATATCTTTTGGGGGGGGTGCTTTCACAGAGCAGTGCGTCGTGAGAAGCTGCTCAAGATAAACTTACTTCTCACCAATGGAATACGGAGGGAATGTGAGTGGTTTGCTACAATGTGAGTGACATGGCGGGTCCTGACCGTGAGGGTTAGGCCTGGCGGTACCAAAGAATGCATTTCGTCTGAGCAATATCCAAGTAGAGATAAGGCAGAGAGAAGCTTGCCACATCCCGTCTGCGAGAGAAGAGAGGTTAGAAGATGGAAAATAATTGGCTACCTACAAGGACCTGCGGATGCTTTTCCAGACGCCTTTTATCGAGACTGGAATGTGAGGACTCGGCAGCTCCTGTCCATATATAACAGCATGACTCCATTTTCGGTCTTGATCTAGCTCTTGTAAAGGTAGATGGTAACATGAGGAGTCAGGTACTTACTGGAGCCGTACAAGAAACCAACCGTTATTCCTGCATCTTTAGCGTTGGATCATATATACGAGTTTCATTTAAGGACAGGTGTGAGTTTTGTTACGGTTTTTTGGGTATATCGTATGTAACTAGTGAGCGAGTCAGAATGACTTATTTCCCTTTATAGTCGACCAATAGAAGGTTGACCAATCAGAAGCGGCACAACACTGTATTCGTCGTGTATAAAGGCGGCCATCTTGTTTCCTCTACCGGAAGGACCAAAGGCGACCAGGAGAAGGATGAACTACACTCTGCTGTGATATCCACTGCGAACCTAAAGTACGCTTTCCTACTGTCTCCGAAATATTCACTGACAACATCTGGATTCTATACTCGAGGACGACCGTCATGAGAATGTCTAACAAGTTTAAGGCCCAATAGTTTCACAAGGTACTTAGCCTCCCGGAGGGGACATCCATTCATCGTGACAGGGGGTAGTTCGTAGTCCCTTCGGCGATGATGTAATGTAGCTAGTTTGGCTATCGGAGCATTGAATGTAACTTAGGAAAATAAGGAACAACCTGGGGTCAAGGATAGAGCCATGGGGGACACATACGAGATCTGAGACAAAAGGTATCCGGGTTCTTTCTTTAGTAACGGAGCCAAAGTAGGTAAAGAGAAGCTGATTCGCATACATTGGCATTGACCTCTCTTCAAAGACGGAACACACGAAGGATTCTCGAAGATATTAACGTAACTATTAAATCTTCGCAAAATAATGTAAAACCTTAGCAAGATTAAAAATCACAAGCGTGCTGACAATATTTGAGAATAAATCAAGTGACCGCATTACTCGAAATTGTTTCGAAGCCATCATTTTAACTATGATCTATCTATCTATCTATCTATCTATCTATCTCAGTCTTCGTATCTATCTATCTAGCCATCCTAATTCATCCCAGTCTATCTATCTATCTATCTCAGTCTTCGTATCTATCTATCTAGCCATCCTAATTCATCCCAGTCTATCTATCTATCTATCTCAGTCTTCGTATCTATCTATCTAGCCATCCTAATTCATCCCAGTCTATTTATCTATATAATCCCTTCATATCTATCTATCTATCTAGCGATATATCTATCCAATCTCTTCATATCTATCTATCTATCTATCTATCTATCTATCTATCTATCTATCTCAGTCTGTTCCTTATCTATCTATCTATCTATCTAATCCCTTCATATCTATCTATCTAGCTAGCGATTTATCTATCAAATCTCTTCATATCTATCTATCTATCTATCTATCTATCTATCTATCTATCTATCTCAGTCTGTTCCTTATCTATCTATCTATCTATCTCAGTCTGTTCCTCATCTATCTATCTATCTATTGTTACCACTCTGTATGTATGTATGTATGTATGTATCTATCTATCTATCTATCTATCTATCTATCTATCTATCTCAGTCTGTTTCTTTTCTTACCTTTTATATTTTTTCATTTTATGCTTCTAATCTTACATGTTCATTTTTCATTAACTACTTATAATTTTCTTTCTTTCTATCGCTGTCTGTTCATTATTCTCATTCTCTCAACCTGTTTATGTTTTCAGCTTTTTATCTATCTATCTATCTATCTATCTATCTATCTATCTATCTATCTCAGTCTGTTTCTTTCCTTATCTTTTATCTTTTTTCATTTTATGTTTTTTTATCTTACATGTTTTTTTGTTAACTAAATTTAATTTTCTTTCTTTCTTTCTTTATCGCCATCTGTTCTTTCTTTCTTTCTTTATCCGTCTGTTCATTTCTTTCTTTCTTTCTTTCTTTCTTTCTTTCTTTATCGCGATCTGTTGTTTCTTTCTTTTTTTATCCGTCTGTTCATTTCTTTCTTTCTTTCTTTCTTTCTTTCTTTCTTTCTTTCTTTATCCGTCTGTTCATTTCTTTCTTTCTTTCTTTCTTTCTTTTCTTCTTTCTTTCTTTCTTTCTTTCTTTTTCTTTATCGCGATCTGTTGTTTCTTTCTTTTTTTATCCGTCTGTTCATTTCTTTCTTTCTTTCTTTCTTTCTTTCTTTCTTTCTTTCTTTCTTTCTTTCTTTCTTTATCGCGATCTGTTGTTTCTTTCTTTTTTTATCCGTCTGTTCATTTCTTTCTTTCTTTCTTTCTTTATCGCCCTCTGTTCTTTCTTTCTTTCTTTATCCGTCTGTTCATTTCTTTCTTTCTTTCTTTCTTTCTTTCTTTCTTTCTTTCTTTCTTTCTTTCTTTCTTTCTTTATCGCGATCTGTTGTTTCTTTCTTTTTTTATCCGTCTGTTCATTTCTTTCTTTCTTTCTTTCGTTTCTTTGTCGCGATGTGCTGTTTATTTTTTTTTTTATCCGTCTGTTCATTTCTTTCTTTCTCCGTCTGGGCATTACTTTTTTCTTTCTTTCTTTCTTTCTTTCTTTCTTTCTTTCTTTCTTTCTTTCTTTCTTTCTTTCGCCGTCTATTCATTATTCTCATTCTCTCTAACTATTTAATTTTTTTAAGTTTCTTTTCATCTATCTATCTATCTATCTATCTGTTCATACCTCAGTTTATTCTTATCTATCTATATATCCATTCCTATCAGTTTTTCATATCTATCTATATATCCATTCCTATCAGTTTTTCATATCTATCTATCTATCTATCTATGTATCTATCTATCTATCAGACTTCTGTTCATCTTTCTCCCCAGACCATTTATATCGATCTCTCTAGGAAGGTTACTGTTCTTCCTTATCCTTTCATTTTTCTTTTTGTTTCTTTTCATAATCTTCCACTCATACCCCCCCCCCCTACTGCCTTATTCCCATTCATTTCATCTCCTCTCCTTTGGTATTCTTTTTCTGTCCTGTTGTGTCCGCCATTTTGTCACTTTGCCGTACTCCCCTTTCCCCTCTCCTAGTTCCTCGATCCCCCCCCACACCCAACAATATTCTTTTATTTCCCTCTGTCGACCACGTCTGTTTCTCACACTATTTATCACGACCAATCAACGCCTTTAAACAACACTCTTTTTTCCTTTTCCATTTCAGTTTCATTCGTTTTACTTTTGCTTCCCTTCCTGTTCCCCAAGCACCTCTAAAGTCGAACAATCGTTTCGACTGCTTGTGAATATTGGTCACATTACTTCCGGTCAATATACTAAGGCTGAAGTAGCCGAAATGCCACCGACAGCTTTAGGGAGATTGTGCCTCAGGCTGGAATGGAGGTTAGTGTTTGAGGCGAAATCTCGCCTCTAAGGCGGGAAGGAGGGAGGCTTTGTCGGATTTATTGATCTCATTCTAAACATGCACGCTGAGACTTCACGCACGCTATGCCAGAAAAGCGTTCTACATGGCTCCCATTCAAAAGCGAGGGAAATCTAGATGCCATGAATTTAAAGAGGCGCTGTAAATATAGAACAAAGAAGACGTAAATAGTTGTTTCCTTTTACAGTTCTCTTAACTAGGCGTGCTTCTCGATCAGAGAATTTGACCAACAAAGAGAAAAGGATTATGTTATGATTCAGCTCGTTCTTTGTTTCTTTAGTTAGTTAACATGTACTTTATGCCCTACCAATACCTCGTAAATAATGGACCATTCCATTTTGAAGACGGAAAAGACATATGAGATACGCTGATTGATTTCAGTAAAAGAAAGAAAGAAATAAAAAAAGGGCCTGCTGGTACATTATAAAAAACGGACTGTTCTGTTTTGCCAGCGAGGAAAGACGGAAAAGGACATATAAGAGACACAGTTTGATTTCGGGGTGGGGGAGAAAGAAAGAAAGAAAGAAACAAAGAAACAAAGAAAGAAACAAAGAAAGAAAGAAGTATCCTTCTGGCACATCATATAATAGACTGTTGCGTTTTGATAGCGAGAAGAGAAGGAAAAAGCCATATCTGTTGGATTTCAAGGAGAAAGAAAGAAAGAAAGAAAGAAAGAAAGATGCGACTGTTCCATTTTGATCGTGAGGAGAGTCAGAAAAGACGCTGTTTGATTTCAGAGTGAGAAAGAAAGAAAAAAGAAAGAAAGAAAAAAGAAAGAAAGAAGTATTCCTCTGGCATATCATATATAATGGACTGTTCCGTTTTAATAGCAGAAGGAAAAGCCATATAAGAGACGCTGTTGGATTTCAAAGAGAAAGAAAGAAAGAAAGAAAGAAAGAAAGAAAGAAAGAAAGAAAGAAAGAAAGAAGTATCCTTCTGGCACATCATATAATAGACTAATTGCGTTTTGATAGCGAGGAGAGAAGGAAAAAGCCATATCTGTTGGATTTCAAGGAGAAAGAAAGAAAGAAAGAAAGAAAGAAAGAAAGAAAGAAAAAAAGAAAGAAAGATGCGACTGTTCCATTTTGATCGTGAGGAGAGTCAGAAAAGACGCTGTTTGATTTCAGAGTGAGAAAGAAAGAAAAAAGAAAGAAAGAAAAAAGAAAGAAAGAAAAAAGAAAGAAAGAAAAAAGAAAGAAAGAAGTATTCTTCTGGCATATCATATATAATGGACTGTTCCGTTTTAATAGCAGAAGGAAAAGCCATATAAGAGACGCTGTTGGATTTCAAAGAGAAAGAAAGAAAGAAAGAAAGAAAGAAAGAAAGAAAGAAAGAAAGAAAATTCCTGCCGATACATCATAAATAATGGACTGTTCCGTTTTGCCTGCGAGGAAAAACGGAAAAGGACATATAAGAGATACATTTTGATTTCGGAGTTGGGGTGTGGAGAAAGAAAGAAAGAAAGACAGAAAGAAAGAAAGAAAGAAAGAAAGAAAGAAAGAAAGAAGAAAATACGTATCCTTCTAGCACATCATATATAATAGACTGTTCTGTTTTGATAGCGAGTACAGAAGAAAAAGTCATCTAAGAGACGCTGTTGGATCTCAAGAAGAAACAGAAAGAAAGAAAGAAAGAAAGAAAGAAAGAAAGAAGCAACTGTTCCTTTTTTATCGTGAGGAGAGTCGGAAAAGACATATAAGTGACGCTGTTTGATTTCAGAGTGAAAAGAAAGAAGGAAACAGAAAGAAAGACTGAAAGAAAGAAAAAAAGAAAGACAGAAAGAAAGAGAGAATCAAACATCCTTCCGATAGATTATAGATAATGGACTGTTGCATTTTGATAGCGAAGATATCAGGAAAAGGTATATAAGAGACGCTTTTGGACTTCAAAGAAAGAAAGAAAGAAAAAACAGAAAGAAAGAAAGAAAGAAAAAAGAAAGAAAGAAAGAAGCGTCTTGTTGATACATCCTAAATAATGGAGTGTTCCATTTTGATTATGAGACGTTGATTGATTTCAAGGATAAAAAGAAATAAAGAATCTTCCTGTTATAAAAGATTGTTACGTTATGTTCTCGAGAAAAGACGGAAAAGACATATCAGAGATTGTTTAAATTCAACGATAAAAAGAAAGAAAGAAACCTCTTGCTAAAAAACTCATTAATAATGAACTGTTCCATTTTGATCGCCAGGAAAACAAAAGACGTGTAATGGACGCTGTTTCATTTCAGTGGTAAAAAGAAAGAAAGAAAGATACAGAAATGATCAGAGAAGAAAGAGAAGATGAAGGAAACAATAACGCTTTGATGTGTTTATGTATGGTTCAGTGAAACGGATAAAACGTATCAGTTTCAAATCTTTTCATTTGTACCCTCTTCTTTAAATACTAACCTGTATTGACAACAAGATTGTTATCGTAATATTTGGTCAAAATTGTTAAGCTCAAATATTTAATGATGCAATAAGAGAATGGCTACGGGTATTTTATAGTCGTAGAACACAAAGATCTTATTGACTCATTAAGTAAAGAATTATGGTTCATCAGAATATTCAAATAGCAAAAGAGTGAAAGTTTCACGTGGAAAACTAGTACTTTTTATTTTCATTCTTTAAACTCAGATTATTATTTTCATCTTTGTCGCTATTATCACAACGCTTCGGTAGTTGTACCCACCGACCTTCTTCAGATATGTGTAAATCCGGGTAGCTTTCACGAAATTTCGAATTCTATATTTATTTCTCCTCCGTCAAACGTCTGAGAGAACCAGTTCATAAATGAGTTATGACGACTTTATTAGTTCGTCTAGCATAGCAACATGAACGATATGGTAGCCGTTAATAAAACTAGTTTAGATAGATGGATAGATAGATAGATAGATAGATAGATAGATAATTGTGACGGTTACACACCTGGCCCAGTGTCGGATCCCTTGGCTACGGCGCCAACGGTGACGTCGCTCCTCCTGGTCGCTCCTCCTGGGTCCAAGCGTGCCGCTCCAACCCTTTGGTCAGATGATCACCAGCCTCGCCTTTCCCGACTCGCTTCCAATACCTGGTCACTAAAGCAACTATACCGATCTCGGTCTGTCTACCCACGCTGTGTTTAGATCTTAGACAGACGGGACCAGCAGGGATCGGGGCCGATACAAGTTGAGTCCGACGGGGGTGGCAAAACACAAATAAAATAAAACTCACGACACCAAACAAAATTGCTGATAAAAAGGGTAACAACCTTTTTATATCTTAAAGTCCGTTACATAAAAACAAAATTGTTCTCAATTCCCGACCCGCTCTGTGGACTATGGCACAAGCTTCTATCACACAATAGGAAAATGTCGAATTACCTACTTTCTAGAATCATGTATGTATGTCGGAGTGTGGTTCAGTTCGACACTGGGGCTAATTTCTATCGATCATTCGCAGTTGATTCTTCTCTCCGACTTGAGTTGTATTTCTTCTTCTTCTTCTACTTGGGCTGGAAGTTCTTCTTGTCTGAGGGTTCTTTTCTCGCTGCCGTCCGGGGATGAACTTTAACTTCTCATCGACTTTCGGCTTGTCTGCAGCTCCAATTCTTCTCAGGCTTTCAGGCAATCTTCTTCTTCGTCTACTTGGGCTGGAAGTTCTTCTGTCTTCGACTTGGGCTGGAAGTCCTTCTGTCTGAGGGTTCTTTTGCCCGCAAAGGGGGCGAGTGAATCGGGTCTTATGTCCGCGTTCAGGATCTTCCCCTGCCCGCGGTCCTGCTGCAACTCAGCCCAACTCCGGCTGCATCTCCAACTCAAACTGATTTCTGTCGACTGGGGTCCTGCTTATATTGACGCCGCAACAAACTGGGGTGGGTCTGTCGGCGTCAGGGTTTTCTCGATAATTTCAAAAGTCGTATTAATTTTGACTTTCCATTATCGTTATTGTTTTCACCCCTACTTTCTCACAGTGCTCTTGGTGGGGCGGCGCATATCTATTTCTCTTAGTCTCTCTCATGTCAGGTGATCGCTCTCAACCAATCGTTCCCGATCGAACCTTTCTTTCTCTTCTTTTCCGCAGCCCACGTGACCGCCTCGTCCAACAGTTATTGATCGAGGTTTTCTTTCCTTCTTCTTCCGCGGTCACGTGATTGTATTCGACCAATTGTTATTGACCGAACACCCTCTCCCTTTTTGTTGGCGGGTGTGGTTACCTCGTGCTGGTTTTAAAAAAAACAAAATCCGATTTCGCACCTTTTTGCACGTACGCAAAATGACAATCTTTAGCTTTCTTTCACCTGGACTTTGTCAAACAGCCCGCTGCTAATTAGTCTTGACTTTAGAAAAGGTTCTTTTCCGCCTTCTTGGCGCCCTCTGTGAGCCAAAAGCAATTGTTCTTCTTTTTTTACTTCTTTGTTTTACCTGATAGTCGAAAATCTTAATTATCTAGGTCGAAATATCTCTACTTTCTTAACGTGGGTGTCCAATTCTTAACAGGTCAATTCCGTATA